CAGAATGCAGAGACTTTGTTAAGAACTTTCAGTTTTATTCTAAATGGGCAGCTACTGAAGGGTTTCCAGCAGATCTGTCAGACTAATGTATTAAAGACACTGCTTGAGTTGCCCAGTGCATAAGATGGCCCAAGAAGGGTACATAGAATAAAAAAAGTCCTAGACACACCATCATCAACATTATCAAAGACAACAACAAAAATTAAGTGACAAGGGGCTAGGGTTTGTGACTCGGTGGTAGTGCACTTGCCTAGCATGTATGAGGTAATGGGTTCGATCCTCAGCACCAAATTAAAAAAATAAATAAAATAAAAATATTGTGTTAATCTACAACTAAAAAAGAAATCTTTAAAAAAAAATTAAGTGACAAACAGAAGAGGAACCCACAACAGAAACAGAGGAGGGACCACAGGAGTTGAAAGAAAATAGAGAGAGTATGGCAATCCTAAATCAAAAGAGAATCTCCAGAAGTTCAGGGAATAATTGGAATCAATTGCTATGAAGGGGGATAGTAAGACATCAATTCGGAAATAACAACTGGATTTAGCAATAGGATTATTGACAACCTTGTTGAAAGCACTTTAAATCAATTGCAGCAATGCTCGTCTATCCCAGTTACCGTCTGTCCCTACAACAATGTCTTCCAAATGGATATCTTGAGTCCAGATCTCCCCTTTGAACTCCACACCCATATACAATTGACTACTCAATAGCTCAACATGATTGATTAAAAGGTATCTCTAACCCGGATCCAAGACCAATAATCTCCCTGCCTTAAACCTGGTCATCCTGAAATATTCCTCCATCCTTCCAGTTGCATAGTCCATTCTTGACAAACCCTTTCTTCTCACCACCACCTCCACATCTAACCCATCACCACTTCTTGTCAATTTTTCCTCCCTTTGCACTTTGATCTCCACTGCTAACTTCCGAGTGCAAGGTACCATCTTCTTTCTCACCTGAACCACAGTGGTAGCCTCTTAACTGGTTCTCACACCCACCTCTGCACTCCTTCCACCTACTCCCTACTCAGCAGCTGGAATCTTTTTTTCTTTTTTAGTTGGACACAATACTTTATTTATTTTTATGTGGTGCTGAAGATAGAACCCAGCAACTCGCACGCCCTAGATGAACTCTCTACCACTGAGCCACAACCCCAGCCTCGAAAGTCGTTTTTTTTTTTTTCATATACAAAATTGTTTGTACCCCTTGTTCCACCCCTCCCCAGGATTTAAAGGTAAAAATAAAAATTCTTCAAATGATATAGAAAGTTCTGCTTGATATGGCCCTGGCCTGTCTTCCCAGCTGCAATTCACTGCACATTCCCTTCTACTCTCTGTTTTCCCTCCACAATGGCCTTCTCTCCATTTCTTACATGCACCAGGCATCCAGCATCAGCCCTGGTATCATCTAGTCTCTCTGTGGCTACAAACATGAGCTCAAGTATCAAACTAGGTTAAAATCCCAGCTCTACTCCTTTCTTGTTCAATGACCCTGAATAAAACTCAATCACTAAATGTCTCCTTATCTTTGAAATGGGCTTAATACTTACCTCTCCAGGAATGCAATAAAATGATATAGGCTGATGGCGCACACTTGTAATCCCAGCTACTCAGCAGGCTGAGGCAGTAGAATTGCAAGTTGGCTGCCAGCATCAGCAACTTAGTGAGACTGTCTCAAAGTAAATATTAAAAAGGGTTGGGGAGCTGAGGTTGTGGCTCAGTGGTAGAGTACTTGCCTAGCACGTGTGAAGCACTGGGTTTGATCCTCGGCACCACATAAAAATAAATAAGATTAAGGTATTGTGTCCATCTACAAGTAAAAAAAAAAAATTAAAGGGGGGCTAGGGATGTGGTTCAGTGGTAAAGTGCCTCTGGGTTCAGTCTCTAGTACCAAAAAAATAAAAAATAAATGATACATGCAAAGTGTAAGAAATATAGTTCCCAATTAATATTATTGACTGACTGCAATATTATCCTCCATTCTCTGTCTGGTTAATGTTTTTACTATTTCAAATCTCAGCTCATAAGACTCAAGATTAAGGTCTCCTTTTATCACCCCCCCCCTTCCCTAATCAGGTTACTATTGTCTGCTAAACTGTCTCATAGTGTTCTGAACATTCATTATACTTTGTTATTATATATCTGAGGGATTATTTTATTAAAGTCTGTGAACCCCACCAGAGAATCCTCCAAGAGGACAATGTCTACTTTACCATCATTATATTCCCAGATCTTAGCACAGTGCCTGGCACATGATAAGCTATATGTTTTGTTGAAAGAATGCTTGATGGAACAGAGAAGAGACAGAGCCAATGAGTGCTAATAACTCAAGAATACTGTGAACATAAAGGGTAAGGGTAACATATGCTACCACTGAGGTTTTTGTTTTTGTTTTTTCAGAACTGGTGATTGAATCCAGAGCCCCTCTATCACAGAGGCACACCCAGCCCTTTCAAAATTTTATTTTGAGACAGAGTCTCAGTAAATTGCTAAGGGCCTTGCTAAGTTGCTGAGGCTGGCCTGGAACTTGCAATCTTCCTGCCTTAGCCTCCTAATTCATTGGGATAAAAGGCATGCACCACTGCACCCAGCAAGGAAGGATTCCTTATTTTTTCAGCAGGCAGAGACTTGAACATGTTTAAATGCTGATGGGAAGGAGCCAGCAGAGAGAACTCACCAGAAGGTGTGAGGGCCATGAGAGTGTGGGAGGGGATAAAACTTAGAGCAGGAGCCAGAAGAAGCAGTCTCAGATGGAAGGAGGGACACCTCTCCCATGGCACACAAACAAGAGCTGTGAACTCAGCTAATTCTGTGAGCTTGGTGGCAGAAGCCAAGATCTTTCCATGAATCTTGGGAATCTAAGCAACAAATCTGGATTATCTGAGAAGCTCAGCATATTTAGTGGACATCATCCACTCACTTTTGCAACTGACGTAAAAAGGAAGCAGACATTTTCTTCATCGTTGACTATACTGATTCACTATTGAGCAAAATAACAAGTTTCCAAAGCAACCCAGTCGCAGAGCTGACAAGTGATCTCAGTGTTCCCTTTATTGAGCATGCTTCCTTTCCAAAATGGGTAACAGTAAAGTCATAAAATGGTAAAATATGGCTGATGCTGATTGAGTGCTTACTATATGCAGGGTGCTGTTCTAATACTTCACCTGTAATAACTCATTTGATCCCACATTTTACAGGTGAGGAAACTGAATCCCAGGGAAGGTAAGTATGTGTCCTAGGTTACATAAATAAACTCGATTTTAATTTAAGGGAACCTAACTCCAAAATTGATGCTTTTAATCATTATGCTATACTGCCCCTCTGAACCTACTAGGAATCAAAAAAACCTTTGGGGCTGGGATTGTGGCTCAGCGTTAGAGCCAGCGTCAGCAACTAGCACCGGTGGGACCCGGGTTTGATTCTCAGCACCACATAAACATAAAGGCATTGTGTTGTGTTCATCTACAAAAAAAAAAAAATTATATTCTCTCTCTCTTTAAAAAAAAACCTTTGAGTTTTTAATCATAAACTAGTAATTCTGTGAATTTGAATATTCACTTAAATGTCTGAAAATCAGTATTAATAAAATGAGAATAAAAATTAGAATGCTTACCTTACAAAGGCTTTTTTTTTTTTTTAATGGTACTGGGGTCAACCCAGGGCTGTGTACATGCTAGGCAGATGTTCTACCACAGAGCTATAACCCCACCCTCTAGAAAGTCTTTTTGAAAGATTATGAAACGCTGAAAGTAGGAAATTATTCTACAAAAGCTATTGTTATATTAATGGTAAGACCTAATAAGGCCTATGATCTTTGACTTATAACTGGGCCACCATCTAATAAGCTGTTCCCATAATCAGCACAGCAGCAGCAGTTTGATGGTTCCAGTTCCTTTAGCAGGTCAGCTGATTCTGATCCCATCAACTTTAAAGTTCCTGTCCAAGACTCCTTGATGACCATTATGTACACCTTGGCCTACTTCTTCCTGAACCTTCCAACATACACTAACACCTCTGAGGACAGTATGACCTTGCTCTTTTGATTCCATTGCCTAAAGGAGTGACTGTCAAAAAATCATCATCATCATCATAAATAGCCTGAGGTGCACCCCAGAAAGCCAAGTTCCATTCGAGTGGTAGAATCACAGCATGGATAGCTGGGAGAGACCTTCAGAGTGGTCTTTTAATGTAACTCCCCACTGGTCTCCTAATCCATTTTATAGACTAGCAAAACCAATGCCTGGTGGATGAGATGACAACTAGTTAGGGGTGGTAGCAGGATTTTGTTTTACCTTGCAAATGTTTTCAAGTCCATTTAACACATGCTATTTTACTTTGCCAAAATCATATCTGGAAAGTAGTTCAATTGTTTATTTCAGTATGCAATAAAGAAAGAAGCAAAATCCTAAAATTCAATTACCCCAAAAGCCATCATGTAACCCTAAACTCACCTGGTCAGGGTGGCTACTACCAGAGGCAGGAAGATAGTGAACAAAAGGCCAGCCTGGGCAATTTAGTGAGACCCTTGGCTCATAAAAACAATCCTCCCAAACACACACACACACACACACACACACACACACACACACACACA